GAGAGATTATATAGAATGTGTACTTTTATACATAACTATAAAATGACACACTGAAGGCCTATTTAAATTAACTACATAAAAGGTAATTAAAATGGTGAAATACTTTGAAGAAATGTGTCACTGTACAGCCAAATAAAACTTAATGTTCCAAAGATATTTCGTTTTTTTTTTTTTTTACATAATAACAATAACATTTTCCAGTGTTTGGACTCCATATACTCTTCAGACCAAAGAAATCATGTTTTATTAACATTTTTTGAAAAATACCCAGATAAAAAATGTAAATACTCAAGAGGTCATTTTTTCATAGCCTTTAATGAAGAACTGAACTACAATCCCATATAACATTGTGAATAATATAATAATTATATTATATAATATATATTTTTTTATTTTTTCTTTGTACAAGTAGTTGTCGACTCTGTGTTTGTGGACTCCTTTTTGGAGTAGATTGTTCTGTGGTGGTATAAAAGTGAGTTTTGTATTTTTGAATGTGTCTTTGATGTTTGTACCAGTTAACCATGTTGTCATTTAGGTGTAGAACCTTTTAAAGCGGGGGTTGCAGTCTTTTAGCGTGTCCACATGGCGTGTGGTGCTTAACCAATTGTATTGCTTTCACAACTGTGTGGTGTGAGGTGAAAATCCAAAAGGCCCCCGCTGGCCATTTCTCTCCTACTGGTAATTTCTGTAACTGGTAGATTTGTGTATCTGATTTGATTAAGATTGTGTATAAAAACCAATGTGTTAAACGGTTTCATTTGTGTATAAATAAATGTCTTAATTTTTATACTTTGCCTATGTCTCCATGCTCACCCTGCCTTTGGCAATGAACCTGTGTGCCCTTGTATAGAGTTATGTCCCGGTATATTCCGGGTGGTGTAGTCGATTTGTATCCATTGTTGTTGGTAATTTCCCCTACCTGACCACTTATTGCCACATGTAAATATTTTTTAATATGTATTACTATATCCTTGCAAGTAAACACGCATATATTATTACTTTTATTTTGCAGGCGATTTAATTGATTTGGCAGACCTATTATGGTTACAATGATATACCAGTTGAATTGTTTGTGACACTGGCAGTGCTTTATGGGAGTGGGCAATCACTGTGGAGCTCCAATTCTCTGATTGGTAGATATTTCTCTGCAGGATTATGGGTAGTGTAGTTCTTCACCTGGAATTTGGCTGTTAACCTGCACAGACACTCCAGATATAATGCAGAGAAAACAATTTATTTCTTAGCCCTTACGGCTTTGTAAATCATTAAAATAAATGAACAGATTATAGAGGTTGACACAAATGTGACGTTACACCTGATCAGAATCAGTTATCCTTCACCACTAGCACATTTCCATTAATCTCATATTTAATGGTGTTCCAGTCAAACACATTTCCCTTCGGCACAGACCATTCCTGGTTTGAATAAACCGCCTTAATCTGAATGCCTGAGAGAACATGATCCCACATTTTCACATCTGTAATTTCACCTACAAAGCTCTGCTTTGCTTCAAAGGCATCCAGGTAGTTATCAGGGTCTTGGCCGAGCAGGACGGTGCCACCAGGACGAACTGAGTGACCTTTTTTATATAGCTGGAATGAGCTGCGACGTCCATCCACCCAAAAGGCAGAAAGACCAGTCGCCGAGTCCCAGGTGACGCACAGGTGAGTCCGGAAGGTGGAGAGAGGAAGCAGGTAGAAAAGCGCTCCATTGCCGCTGAGGTAGAAGGACAAACGGCCATCTTTCTCTCTCCACACATTGAGCTCGTCATAGTTCTGTGTGCGGTAGGCGAACAGAATGATCTCCCTCTCGCCCTGGAGCTCCGTCGCAACTCGCATGCAGAGAGTAAATGCTGAAAGACTCAGTGGCTTTTCAGGAATGAGTTTAACATAGCTGGTATCAGTCTCGGTTGGAAACAGAAGCACTTTACCACCGAGACCCACTGCAAGATAAAACCAACAGACATTTACAAGTGAAATCCTGCTTGCAATCTTTATTTGATCTATTACTGTAAAACGTGTTACCTTCAGTAGCCGCTGGTGTCAGAGAGAAGAGAGAGAAAAATAAAACCATTGGTAACATCTTACTGCAGGTCTGAAGGAAAAAGTGCATAAGAAAATCAATTAGTCCTTTTTAGCAGACAAATTCTCAACTACTTTGTAAATTGTTTTTAACAACAGTTTATTCCTATTAAGTGTTAAATTACTTTTTAGAGACAAAGGCACAAAATCTTCAAGAATACTTACGATGTTTAACCAGTGTTATCAATGAGAAGGTCACTTCAGATCAGCTGTTTGTCTCCTAGATGGTCCTGACCAGAAACATCTCAGCAACTCACTTAAAACACTGAAGACTTCAGCTTTGACTTTTGCACAAGAAAGCAACACTCACATTTTCTATAAATGTAAAAATCTAGTTTGCATCAGTTCAATAGCTCTGTTATTCTGATAAATGACCAAAGAATGTCAGTGGGAATAAAGGAATGACGTGAATAAAAAATGGAATGGACTTTCTCAACAATCGGCGTACAGTGCTGGCAGCAGAGGTTTTCAGAGAGGCTGTCAGGATGTATGTACACACTACAGCAGCTAGAGAACACATGCTACAGCGTGTGAGACTGTGAGATGAGCAACTTATTGAGCAACTGTGGTCAAACATGACTTAGCATCTAACTGAATGTTATGAAATAAGGCGACTGATTAAGAAAAGCAGAAGTGTGTCTGTAAATGATGACTCGCCTTGATGAGCCACAGTTGCTCAATAAATAACTTAAAGCCAATATTTTCACAATTTCACCCCTAAAATGTAATCTATTTTTAATTATTTTACTTGTATTTAAATTAAATTTTCTGTATTTATCCTTTTTGAGAAAAATATTACATATAAATACACGTTTATCTATTATAATTTATAAAAATATAAAATATAAATAAATCTTGAATTAAATAATAGGCTAACATTATACTAAAGCCAAAATAAACAATATAAATATTTTCTGTAAAATATTCACCTACTATGAGAAACATTGCCATTTATATCCTATTTATTTGTACAGGGCTTTCCAAAACAGTTTTACAGACAAACGTGCTTTTACAACCTCCAACGAGCAGCTGAAGATCAGGAGAAAGTAGAAAACTCACAAAACAACTCTTGAAAAAAAATAAACAATTCTAATGGACAGGTCTGCATTACCAACGCAGTTAGTAAATATGGAAAATACAGCATGTATAAGCAGCTCTAAACGAAGAACTGGAGTGCTTCCCAGAAGCCCTGCAATGTGGGCAAGCCTTCCTAAACCTGATATTGAGCCAGTGATGGATTGACAGCACTAATATCTCAATGAATCAAAACTCGATGTGTCCTTTGACTATAAAATAGCAAAGTCTCGATGGTTATTGATGCTTTGATCCATTGCTGTTGTCTAGGATGGAGGATCAGGACAGGGTCAGTCAGGCCTCCAGCAGCGCCACAGTGTCCTTTCTGCCGATCAGAGACCAGGTGAATCACATACACATATGGACCAACACACACGACTACATATTTCAAACCCACTGACTGTGTGATTATATACGTCCAGTGTCATGAAAAAGTGCAGACGTTTGGAAAGAGATGTCAAGCGGTGAAGAGAGACCCTAACTGTCCTGTGGTGATCAGAGGATGGCTGTACAAGAGGGTAACGAACAGAGCACAATACTGACCATCTGTGTGTCTGTCTATGGCAGCATCACCAGATTATGACAGATAATGACAAGAAATATTTGACAAATATCTAGTTTAAAAATCTTTTTTGCTTCAAATAACAAGATTTTTTAAATGTAATGTTTGTATATTGGTTTCATATATTATGAAAAACATTTACTCCATTTTTTTTTTACATAAATAAGTTCTAAAGTACTAAAATTAATGAAAAATAAAACTGAAATAATTAAAGTTATATAGAAATATTTAAAAAATAAAATGACAAAAGCACATAACAAAATTACTAAAAAGAAAATTTTTTTAATTAAAATGAAAAATGAAGTAAAAAACTAATTCAAAATATTATTAAATACTATAATAGTATATAAATACTATAATAACATATTTTAGC